TTATCGTCATAATTTTTTTACCTTCCGAAGAGGTTTCCTTGTTTTCTTTTTCCTCCTTTTCTTCATCAGCGGTTTTGTCCGCTCGGAAGAAGATTCTGGCACTGTTTAGCGAGAAGTACACCAGCTCAAACTCCTGCAAAATTGCAAGATTTACACTAGATTGTGAATAATCGAGATTCTCGTAGCTTGTTTTGTAGATACAGACAAACCGAAGAAATCAGTTCATTGAAATGTGCAAAATCCAACTTTTTACCCTGTCAAACAACTTTTATTCACCTCAAAACTTTTAATTATGAGATTGAAGGAGACAAAGTAACATTCAGGAGAGTTTGCCATAATTTAGACCTCAGTCTTCGAAGTGTCTTCTTTGGCCGCCATATTGGTTCACACATACTGTACATCGAGACGATAAACAACATCGCCTAGGTCTTGAAAAGAACAGGAAGTAAATTCTGTCACCGACCTGCTGATATGTATTCAGTCGCTTCATAGTTAAATTCATCGTTTGCTGCAGTTTCTCGTCTCGCACGGTCCCACGATTCAGTGAAGCCATTACATCAGCCTGAAAATAATTATCAGTGACATGCGACATTTAAATTACCACAAGAGATTATCAGTGGAAAGCATAATCAAGACAGGGGCAAAAATTCCGCATTTAAAATTATTATAATCACTAAAATGTGTTACAGAAAATATTACAAAAAATACTACACAAAAGAAATATCAAACTAATTTCTTTGTATCATTTTAATAAGTAGAGGTAAAGGCATGACCCTCAAGGCAAAAGGACTTTTTCAGAGCCAAGTTAAAACTCTGATGCAGAGACATAGCTTTATTATCAGAGACAAGCTTAATATAAATAACCGACAACTAGCACTGACCATTAAAAAACCTTGATTTTGTATTCTTCAACTCATGTATTTGCACATCTGATCTAATTAACTTCGATTTTTGCGATTCGATTTCTCCGTTTTCTCCTTGAGAAAATTCACCATACAGTCGAGGCAGTGCCTAGAATCACCTCGAACTTTGCGGTAAATAATCCGCGTCCTGTTTCCAATTTTCTACTCCTTCGTGTTTGAAAACGAGATGAAACACTCTCCCTCGTATTTGATATATTACATTTTAACTTAACGGAATACGAAGATTACTTTAAAAGATCGCTGCAAATTGGGCCATCCCCTAGGCGGAAAAGCTATTAGAATAATGCCAGTGCAAACAAGAGAGCATTGATGAAGGGTGGGCCTTATTCCTAATCAATGCTATAAGCTGCATTTTTTCACCTTTTCTTTGGCATACTTGTCCTGTACAGACTGGAACCAGTGAAGGGAGTCGAATTCCTGATATTGGTCAAGCAACTTTAAAATGTACGCCACACCTGAAAGAAAAGTTTACATTAATCACCTGGTCCGTCAAAATGTACGCCAGTGTCTGCTTAACTGATTGGCTCATGTTTTCTGAATATATTCTTTCACTTCTGAGGCTCTGAAACTCTAGTGTGTAACCATTCAAATGAAAGCCATTGAGAATTACTTTCAGGTGGTACTGTTTATTATGCTGTACAAGATGGTTCTAACTTTTAAGTCTGTGGATGAAACCCTAGTGTGTGACCATTCAAATGAAAGCTATTNTGTGACTTTTGATTCTGTGGATGAAACCCTAGTGTGTGACCATTGCATTCAAGTGAAAGCCACTGAGCAGTACTTTCATGTGGTACTATCAACTAAGCACTGCAAGGTTTTCCTTCAAATGAACACTACAGAGTAGTACGTTGATTCGGAGCTGTTTCGTATTATATATTGTGAAAACTTTAAGTTTGAAATTTTAAACTTAGGTGCTCTTGGGAATGAAAGAGTTCGCTCGTATATTTTTGTGTAAGGTTAAGTTATGTTTCACCGACTTCTTTGAACAGTTCGAAGTAATGAGAGCACAAACCTTACCCATCACAAAGCCGTCATCAGTGAACGCTGCTCCGATTTTGTTTTTCTTGTTGAGCTTTTCCTTGCAACTTAACATGTACTCCACGAAGTTGAGTGTCTGCAAAAGAATATAATCTTATAAAAATAACAATAAAAAAGTCCCCACAAACTTAACACTGGTGGATTGTAATACTTACTAATTAAGCGCAATAAAAGGTTACCACGAAATTCATGCAATGATCCTGTCCTAACATAGAGGTTACTAAAAAAATTACCAACAGCTTTTTCTGTTTCGGATATCAATTAATGTTGCGCTGATTTAAGTATGCTGGTTGTCACAGACAATAAAGTTGTTGTTGTCGTTGTTGTTGTTGTTGTCACGAGAGTTAATTCCCGGTAATTGATAATTAACATATTACAAGAGTGGCACAATGAGTGCTGGGGTTGTTTAAATCGAAACTCTTGTTTGGTTGGCTAATTCAGAAGACATATTGCGTTGCAAAAAAAGGTTCACCTCGTTTTACTAATGAAAGAGTTTAGCTATTCATCAGAATGCTCGAAACATAACGATACGAAACGCGGAGGGGAGGGGAGGGTGAGGGGGAGGGGTGCTCTTTGCGTCTGAGGTTCGAGTCTCAACCTCGGATGTAAAAAACCTTCTTTTTTAGAAGGAGGGGATTGGGGGTCTGTTATCAGCCTCAGTTCGTTATGATAGGGATGGAAAATAAAGCAAGTTTACCAAGGGAGGGACGATGACATAGAAGTTTCTCAGATGCATGTTTTTGCTCCCTCTGAACTCGGGTGCAAACACGTCGACAAGAAGCTGAAGAACAAAGAAGAGCAAACTTCAATGAAACTTATTTAACGGCAAACATGATAAGTAACAAATATTTTGTTATATAACAGATTTAACAGCAACATATAATTTTGTTTGTGTTTGGGAGAAAATGTTCGCTGAAGCACGCGAAGTCCTTTCGATTCTCGTTATCCAATCAAAAACAAGCACGAACTCTCACGAGTACTTTCCGAAAATTGTCAAGCGCATGGCGGTGCAGTCAGGACAAATACGTTGTTTAGCAACCTTGGCGACGAAAAACGCGATGCAGTTATTTATCGGACACGATATTTTGCCTTCAAGTGGTAACTTGCTGCACAAAATTGAGTAAGCCTATCGTAATACTATACCTTGAAATATTCCGTTGCACCAGCAAAATTCTTTGCCAAGTCGTTTATTGCAGCATCCAAGATCCTGTTACAAGAAGCATAAACCTTTTTCGTCAAAGCAGTGGCATTTCAACAAAAGGAATCACCGAACAGATCCAACAAGAAAGAAGACATAAGGCTCCACTATATACGTAGAGGGAATATACTTCTTTCTTCGCGTACAAGAACCTTCTCGTTTAAAGACATGACACTACAAGAAGTGCAGCAAGTATGCTTGAAATCTCGCACAACCGAATTGCATAACCTCGGAACTTATTTATTGTTGTTTTTGATAAAACTCACTTGGAAGCCTGTTTCGATTCCTCTGATAAATTTTCTTCTGTTACCAGTTCCTCAAACGACACAATGTCCTCAAGATCAGGAACGAACCTGCAAAGGACAAATAAGAAACGAAAGAGTGACGAATAGCTACTTCTGTATACAATAACAATACGAGGTTAATCACAGGTGACGAGAATTACGAAAATCTAGGAGATATTGTAGCTAACCCAAGATAAAAGTGCTGGTAATATTTACGATTTTATCCTTTCCCCTAAACACCAAAATTCAGTGCCGAGCTTAAAGCGACCTAACAGCACACACTAATTTAACAACATTTATAAATTTTGACAAAGAACAATTGTTTCTCTAAATGAACGTAAGTTGAAACTACGCTAATGAAGTCCTCTCTTGGGGGGGGGGGGGGGGGGGGGGGGGGGGGGGAAGGCATTCACATACAAACGCTTCAAGTTGCCACTGTCTCTTGTCCAAAGGCTCTCTGTTCAAAGGAAAGTTCAACTGTAAAATCAACGAGCAAGGCAAACAAATAAGGACAGGACTGTACCTGATGGCATTACTACAGCAGTGCAGTCCTCCAGAGCGAATCATACGAATGTACCCCATGGCGTTCCCTACAGAATAGGGCAAAACATATAAGTTACACAAAGCAAACAAAAACTTGCAAAACTCATATTTGTTGTTGAAGAAGATAATTATTCAGTCACACAAGCCATTCCGGAAAGGAATTCCAACAGGAGTCATGGATCCGAGTAATTCTCGCAAGATCATAAGTTCTACACTTGTTGAGAGAACTCAGAATGGTTTTTATCTACACCTTCCTCTTCAGCTCGATTTTTATCTACCCAACCTAGCTCCAAAATTTCATAGCTTTCTTCAGTCTTGGGCAGTCAGTCTTTTAATGGTACGTCGGTCAAAATGTCAACATTTCACAGCTTTCTTAGCTTTTATTTCTAATGGTGCGTCAGTCATCCGTTGGCATGTGAATCTTGACTTCTTGTATTTCCTTTAACTGTGCTAAAATGTTTTTGAACTCAGCGACAATTACAAAGTGAAAGACTGCCTTTTATTTACACTTATCAAGAGAAAACTAAACGCGATATCAAAAGCACGGGAAACTAAGTTGTTACGTTACCTATCTGGCTGATCTGTCACGGGAAACTAAGTTGTTGCGTTACCTATCTGGCTGATCTGTCACGGAGTTATTACGTTACCTATTTGGCTAATCAACACTCTGAACTGATCCAGGTACGTGTGTCCGTCAGGAGTCAAACCAAGTTTGCGGATTCCTTTGTTGAATTTCTCTGCCCGCTCAAATGGGTATTTCTGATCAGACTGTTCCTTTGTTTCCTTGAAGAAACGAATATCCTACAACAACAAAAAGAGTCACAGACACAGAATATCATACAAGAAAGTTACTGAATCGAACAAACCTTTTACAGAAGGCCATAATTTGCCTTGAAAACAACTTCCCAATGTGTTTCTGTCATTTGTCCATTCCATCACAACTAAATCAAACTATCACTGATGCATTTACCAAATTTGAAAATGCTAAGCAAAATTAGCTAGTACATCCAAATTGTAATCTACTTGCATCCTCGCCAACGTTTGTCACTCTCACTCGCTAATGTGATTCTGTGATATGTCAAACACTGTTCTACAAAATTAAACCATTATTGATTGGCTTTTGTGGTCGAAGTATGGATTTTTATCTCCTCAAAGTCGTGTTAAGACCTCGCAGGCATCTAGCCACTGAAGTTTACCTTGATGAGCCTTGCCTTGATGTGCTCATCGTACAGAAACTGTGAAAAGATGAAGAACTTCTTGCGCAGAAATTGGTAAGTGAAGTTGACGGTGGTGTTCATGATTCCAGAGCCGTGTGTTCGAATGGAGTTGGCGATGTGACGGATGTTGATGGTGTTCAAATGTTTGTTGTTTGACGCCAGTTCAACGAAAATCTGAAATAATCAACGACGAAGTTAAATAATTATTAACCTTTCATTCCTAACATTTCAATCTTGGCGTGGTTTTCGTTTACTTCAAATTCCAGTTTTCCCATTTCCCACATTTTTCTCCGCTTCTAAGAAAATATTCTGAGAACGTTCTACTCTGATGCAACGGTGGTCCTCAACAGCAGAGAGAAAGACCGGGAGAAAGAAGAGGAATCTCAAGGAGAGGGAAGAATACCTGGGGAAAGGGGAAATATTAGGGAAAAAAAAGGAATATCAGGGAGAAAGAAGAATACCTAGGGAAAGGGGAAATATCAAGGAAAAAAGAGGAATATCAGGGAGAAAGAAGAATACCTAGGGAAAGGGGAAATATCAAGGAAAAAAGAGGAATATCAGGGAGAAAGAAGAATACCTGGGGAAAGGGGAAATATCAGGGGAAAAAGGGGAATATCAGGGAGAAAGAAGAATACCTGGGGAAAGGGGAAATATCAGGGAAAGAAGGGGCAATATTATGGGGGAAATAGAAGGTAGAAAGATTCATTCGGGAATAAAATAGATCTCGAAATGAAAAAGCCTGTGGGGGACAACAAGAAATAGATTTCACTCTCAAATCTTTATCGTTCTCTACTTTCGTTATCAATTGCAATATAGGAAATCTGACCTGATTATTGAGGTTGTAAAGATATCGAGAAACAAATACGTGAATGTTGCGCATAATCTCCAACACGTCCAGACCCTGAAAAAAAAAAAGTTAAAATAACCACGGTTATAGAAAGAGGCAAAAAGAAGTCTGTTTTTGCCAGCAGTGACCCACAATATCAGGGGTTCCCTAATTTCCGCTAGAGCTGCTGGGTGTTTTCCTACTCGCCGCTGGATTGTATGGTATGTAAGTCCATCTCAGGGATACCTTTCACATTTTGTCACGCTGCTAACCACAAGACTACGGCGCTATTCACGAATTTTAAACCGCATGACAATAGTAAAAGTGACTGATTTTAACACCACTTGCTGGACTTTTGAGGTATACACTGGAGAGTGGATCGCTCTATGTAGTCACCTGTTCAAGTGTCTGACTGGGTAAATGTGCTTCAGTCATTTCCAGGCCGTATTTCTGACTCGCTTGGTTTCTCATCTCACCATACGTCCTCCAGTCATGAAGAGCTACTGTGGTCAAGTTGTAAAACGTCGTGTCCAGGTAATGCGTCACGTGTTCTACAAAGAGAAACAGTTCAAAAGAATTGACAAATAAATGGCACCACATGAAATTACTGCTGAATACCTTTCACTTGAATGGTCGCACACTAGGGTTTCATCCACAGACTTACAATGTAAAAGTTAGAACCAGTTAACATCAACTTTGTACCTTTTGTTGCCAAAATTGAGGAACTTACGTTTAATGTTCACAAACTGATGGAAGAATCGGATTGGCCTTATTTTCAAAAATTGAGAGAGATCTTTCATTCCAACCTGCATGAATGAACAGATAAAAAATTAGTCAAATCACAACAAAACGACACACCGATCATTTATATAGAATCTGAATATTCTTATTATAGATTTACAAGCACAGCACAGTTAAAATTACTTTGCTACAGTCCTGATCAAATGTTCAAAACTGACCAAAAAGCAAAACAAGCTTAACCGTACATAGCCAATAAACTAAACAAACAAACCAACCTTGAAAGGATTTCTGTCATCTAGCTGCAAATGCTGATGAATGTGAAGTCGTAGATCTGTTTCAATGTCACGGCACAATGGTTGAAGCAAGTGCTGGCCGAAGAAAAAAGAAAATCAACTTTAGGTCACGCTTGTCCTGGCCATCCTGCTACGCTATGTCATGCGACCCTACAACTACGCCATAACACGAAATCACGCAAATTTGGAAAAATCAGTTACCCTATGCCACACTGGATCACCCTGTTTTAAATAAAGTCGTCACACGAATCAGGCAATTTTGGCAAAACCAGTTACCCTATGCCACACTGTCTCATGCTGTTTTCAAATAATCTTGTCACATGAAATCACGCAATTTTGGCAAATCTGTCACGCTAGGTCGTACTGCTTAAAACATACTTTCAAGCTAGACATGCAGTTATAATCAATGTTACCAATCTACGACGTTTGGGTATACTCACTTCATTTAGCGTGTCACCAATTTCTTTCTCAAACAAGTCCAGCATAACCTGCGGCGACGGCTCGTGCTTCACTTGCTGGAGGACTGGAACACAGTCTCCTAAAGCGGCAATCATGTACTGAAGGAAGAAACGGAAAAGTTGAAAAGACAGGCCACTTGGTTAAACAGGGCATACGTAGACGATGATGAATGACTCAAAGAAACTTTTGTCACGAAATGTCCTTACTTATGTGAAGTCAGGATAAACTGAACGCTGTCTTTTGTGACAAGGGCTAATGGATCAGAACCTTGTCAAAAAATTATTAAATGGAAAAGACCACGGCAGGCAGCACTAGCCTGTGAACAGGATCTTTAGTTAAGGATGGAACGAAGAGAAAGCGGAAGAAAGAGGCAGCCAGTTCCTTCTCAGCCCATCCAGCCGCGATCAGACCCTTCCAGCTGGAGCCTGTTCACAGGCTAGCCAGCATTGGAAATCTAATCAACTGCTCCGTTACTCGTCTATATGTAGGGAATCCTGAAGCAAATGAGTGGCCGCGAGAGATTCCACCTGCCTGTGTAGACGCTACAATAGCCACTGGACCCATTCCCCTAAAAACTCGGTCGTGAAACAAAATGGCGGCGTTTCTTGTGCTATTTTCGAGATTTCGTCAGGGCAAAGAAAATCGAGGATTTCATCAATTCGAAAATGTTTTCCGCAAAAGTATTTCGAATTACGAGAAGATTTGTTTTGGTGAATTGTTTTAGCGTTAGGAGTACTATAGGGAAACAAAGAGTTTGTGCTAGTTAAAAGGGCTTACATGAATTCGATGAACATCTGTAGCACTGTCATACAGATCATCCAAATAAATTGGAAACACCACCTCCTACAAAAGAGATAAGGGAGCACTATTAGCTGTATTTAGGACTGAAGGGTTACATAGAATTAGTATTGCCTTAGCCTGTTGAAACGTTCACATGAATCAAATTGCTCTAAAGAGCAACCGAATCATGAATTCATAGACTAGTTGATCCAGAGTTCAACAGATTCACTTCAGAATTACCGCAAACAAACTGACGAAGTACAAATTGAACTAACCATAGAAACGAAGGGAGGAAGCGACGGACGGACGGAAGGACGACAAACGACCAACAACGAACGACGAATGATGAACGAACGGCTAATCGAATGATCCACTGGCTCATCGACTGACAAACTGACATTACCCCTCCCCCCCTACCTTCGCCACCTCACTCTACGTTTCACTTTCATCACTTTCCCTCCAACAACGGAGAGAAATGTCCCGAGTAAATGTCTCGAGAAATGTCCCTAGTGAGAAATGTCCCCAGCCCTCTCCCTCGCCCCTTGCCCCCGCCACCTCGCCCCACGTTTCATTTTCATCAGCTTACAAACGTCTAAAAAGATCTTGGTTAAGATGATGAAAAGGAGGGGACGTTAGCTCTCCATTAACGGAGAGAAATGTCCCGAGTGAAAGATCCTAGGGGAGTTTTCACCCGATATACCGTGATACAAATTCAACTGAGTACTGAAATACATCAACTTGCCCTGTGCCAGTGAATGAAGCTGCAATCACACGCTTTCCTGACTCTTCCTCTCAGATCACTGATGAGATTTATTCGTTTCATCACACTGGTTAAACTGGCCATCTCATCGTCCCTAAATGATCTCTGTATGAAAATCAAACACAACTTATTTCAAAGTGAATGGGTGGAGAACTATCTCTGAAGAGGGTGAGACATTATTTATTACAATACGAAGAACCTCTTTTCTCCGGCCTCTGAAATCCTTACGGAACGAATGCGAAAAAGGCGCGAAAGACTCGCAGCGNTACGCTACTCACTATCTATTCTGTTGTAGATAGTGAGTAGCCTAGCAGTTGTTAACAAACTGGCGACCGCTTCTTTGCATTTTGGAAGTGTCTGTGAAGAGGATTTAGATAAAGTTTTGAATGACTAGTAGATTTATACTAAAACAATTAGATTACTTGCTCTCGATTTCTATACCTAATAGTTGACTCGGGCTGCGCCCTCGTCAACTATCACGCGATAGAAATCTCGAGCTCATAATCTAATTATTAAGTATAAGTACTCGATGCGTGCAGAGAAAGATAGCTGTTGATTGAAGCAAACAATCTATGACAGGGTTAGGGTTATGCCACATTAGATTCAGACGCTCGGTGTACTACACATTACACAAGCAGTCATACAAACGACTGTATATTTGACCAAGTTCAAAGGAAATGACTTGCAAGTTCAATAAGCAACTTATTTGTCTTCTAAAATATTTTTCATTTATCTATCTTTCAACAGCTCGTAGCTGTTTTCTACCTCTGGGAATGGAGAGTGGTGATCTTCGCGACAGCACGATATCAGCATCGACATATTATGATTAATAAGGTTTTGCAGCGTTTCATGTTGTTACATCTTAATTTTCAACGCTAAATTTAATTTTGAAAATTTACACTTCTGCGAAACAATAAAGCAAGCAATGACGAACCAATAGGAAGTTAAGGTTTATACAGTAAATGCCCAACACATTCACACACATTGATGGAACTGACAGTTCTTAACGAACGCTCACCTTGAGAAGTTCCGTGAGCCTGCACAGGGCCAACACAGCAGCCTTGGTCAGCGGTTTGGACAGTACCAGATGCATGTTCATGATAGTGCGCACCAAGTGACTCACAGTGTGTGCAATAAGGACACCCTATTAAAACAAAAACGCACCATGAAAAAAATGAGTGCTGGTGAAGCCCATGTCGTAATTCTCTGGTCCTGTAGACTGGAACTGAACATACCTTTATAAAGAGGACACAGCGTGCATTGAGGTCATCCACCAAGGAACCTCCCTTGGTCAGAGCTGACTCCATGTGGACCATCCATGAGCTGACCTGCATCTGGTAAAGCTGTGCATCTCTAGATAGCCAAAGACGATTAAATAGTAAAAAATCTCTTCAGTTTTCAGACCTTTTGTCCAAGTGGCGTGGGTACAGTTTTGCGGTATAAAGAAGAAGCTACAGTACATGCTAAATGTAACCCCCCCTTGAAAAGGGGGGTGCCCTCTCCCAAATAAATGACATGATCAGATTTTTGCTTGATTTTTCTTTACTAATATTACATGATTTTCTGCACGAAGAGGGGCACTGCAGGAGTTTAATATCCCAACCTGAGGAAACTACAGCTGCAATACTTCTCTTTATTTCACATTATGGAAGCCGCGATAGACTCTGGCATAGTGGGTATGATGACTAGGATAAAGCTTTCATCTTTTAGTTTAGAACTGATTGCTGTTTGATTTTGTAGACTAGAACTAGATAAATGACAATTACAACTCAATAGAAAGTAAGGATGACAAATACATGCAAAAGGGGTGGCAAAAAGTCCTTCAAAAACTCTGGGACTCACAAAATTTAGTTGAATTTCATGGGTTTCACATTCTTGTTACGTGTGTCTTGCAGTCTCGAATTTTTTTCATGAAACTGTCTTGGAGTGTCGATTTTTTGCAATATTGAAAGTTTTCACGCTACTTTCAGATTCTCCCCCC